TTTTTTTTCTACTGCTTCAGCGACTTGAAAGTTCTCTTGAAGCATCCGAGGAACAGTGTGACGGAATAATATAGTTCACTAGAAAAATTCGTTTGATGGCATATGTTGTGAAATTCGCACTGTTCATGGCTTGCTAATTTTTTTTTTTTGCAACACAGAAAATGCTATTTGAAAATTCTACTGAGAATCTTTCTTTCCTTTCTCTTGTATAATTTTCAGGACCATGCATCAGCATGCATGGGAAAGTGAAGCTTGGACGAGGATCAGCACGAATTTCCCGAGCTTTCTTGGAACTTTTGAAAATCATCACCGAAATTCGTTTGTTTTCTATATTCGACGTCGCCATGTCATGTTCCATTGTTGTGATCTTCCATTCCCAGTCGGAGCTTTAAGAAATTGAATGTTTTGAAATTTGAATTTCAAATTATATACCTTTTTGTGCATAGCCTTTGCGTCCCATGAATTTTTTCTCCCGGAGAAAAAAAAAAGAGAAGGCGAGATCTGCACAAATGTTGTGGGCGAAATTGTATGAAGGTTTCCTCGCAAAATTCTCGCGAATCTCCCACAAATGTTTTTGGCACTTGGATGAATCCGTTGTCAGCTACTTTTTATTGTTGCTTTGTGAAGAAAACAGTTGAATTGTCTCATTTCGAGAAGCCGAAGACTTGGAAAATCGGTTTTCTGCAAAAATAAAGAAAAAAATTCTCGTGTTGTTTGTAATGTTACAAAAGCCGAGATGAATTCATTCTTGTTGCAAAATATCACCTCCAACAATTTCAGCATGACTTGTGGGGGGAAATGTCTTTGGGATATGGCTTTTTTCAAAGAAAGAAATGAAAAAATAAATAAAAATAATAAAAAGTTAATTCTGGATTTCGGATTGCTGCTCTTGAGAAATGCATTCCTGGAAAATTTCAAGCAAAATTCAGAAGGATACGGATAATTTCGTCAAAATATTGTTTTATTCTCCAAGTGATCATTTCGTTTGATGCGTTTATACCGGGATAATATTTATTTTCTCAAAAACAAAAACAAACCATTTTTTTAGGACTACCTTTTAAGTCGCACAAACCAGGAAGACGGGCGTTAACTTTAAGCACCCTCCGAGCGTCTTGCAAACCTTTATGAAATAGGCGGAACAAGGAAACCACAAAGGGGGAAAAACTTGATGATGAGGTCCTCGACGTTCTTGAAGTGATTGATTGATTGATTGTGTTTTTCCAGAGGTGTCTTGTGCAATTTGTACTGAACGAAAAGAAAAGAAAAAAAAAAAGAATCCGCAAAAGAGGCAAGAATGGGTTTGCATTTCGGAAACTTGGGCGTGAAAGTGCGCGGGATCGTGTCCTACAGACTGTCGCCCTTTGAGCAGAAGCCACTGGCTGGGGTTTTGTCTCACGGCCTGCCGAACCTCATTCGTCGGATGAAGGAGGAGATTTTCTTTGTTGTTCCCCGTGAGTGCCGGGTTCTTCTTCTTCTTCCTCTTCTTTTTTGTTGACTCGATTTTAAAACGAGGAATGGGAGACAATTAATCAACTCTGCCAAATCAGAAGGGAGCACCAGATTCGGACGTAATTTGTGCATCAAGAGTGTCCCCAAGTTGAGTCTAATTTTCCCTTAGATTTCAATGCTAATTACCATATTTACTCGAGTACCAAGTGCACCTTTTTTCTCAAATTTCAGAAGAAAAAAAGGGGTGCGCGTCATAAGCAAGTACAAATTTTCTCAAGAAGTTTTAGGAAGTTATGTGAGCATTATACTTGATTATAAGGGAGAAATTTGGAAAAAACCTAACAAGAAAACTTTTTTGTCCAGAAAAAGTTGAAAATTGATAAGATTTTTGTTCAATTCATGTCTATAAAGTCAATTTTTTGTGTTTATTTTCAAAATTTTGTGGTTTTTGATTCACTAAAAATTGGGGTGAGTGTCTTAATCGGGGCTAAGATTTTAGCCAAATTTCCAACTGAAAAACCCCTGTGCGCGCCTTATACTAAATAAAGGGCACATGGTACTTGAGTAAATACAGGAATTTAGTTGGTTCTCTTTGTTTTTGTAAAACAAATTGAAATAAGTCCTCAAACAATTTAATGAAAATTGTTTCCCTCAACTTCAAGTTGTACAAAACAACAGTGCAGAGCAAAAAAAAACAACATGGAATCTGATCTTTTGGTGTCAAAAGGAGATCAAAAAGCAAAGAAAAATATCAAGTCTTGCTAGGATATATATGCACAGAATCACAGATGATAGAAATTTCTGAAGCACAAAATCAGCTTGCTTTGATTATGAATTAAGAGTGAATTTTTCATTAAATATTTTTCAATTTTTTTTAAATACAGGATAAGTAGCTTGATTTGTTTGAAAGGTATGAACAATAAATAAGAAAAGGTTTTTATTTTTTTTTGGGAAAATTTCAGAAAAAGTGTCTCTAACTCAAGCCAATGTCTGCTGGATCTTGGGCCTGATTTTTCTGATTTTCAAGTGTCCAAAAGTCAAATTGTCCGTATGTCCACANGGGTTTGACTGTAATTATTATTTTTTAATATATTTGACCACCACCACTCTTCCTTCAGGGCAATGATGGCACCAATAGAACCTTGGTTAAAACTTGGTTCCTTGTCCAAGTTCTGAAGATTTTGGCAGTCACAACTTGTGGCATCCTCATCTTTTCAAAATGGAAAGACACCAGCAGTGCTGTGCAACTGGATCATAGCATCATCAATAAGACAGGAAATGTGATGATTGCTCAAAGTGATCCTGATGTCATTCCTGTGAAACTACCTTGTGATTCAGGACCTGAAATAAGCAAGGAAAACTCTAAGAAAAAGGCAAAGAAACAAAGACTTGCCAGCATCATATTCTTTGCTGCTGCATTAGTGGAGACTTATTTCTTCTTCTTCATGCTTTTCCATTACTTTTACCCATCAACTAGTGAAAATGGTGAGTGTGATGATGATTGTCCCACAAATGACATGGTGATGATTGTGATCACTGATCCTGATGGTGAACAAGTATCTTGAGTAAAAAGATGTACATATTTTGACACAGAGAAAAGTATGGACAAGATTATGCTGTGCAACTGATGCTGTAACAGAATTCAGATGACCAAACTTGAACTCTTCTTTGAGGGCCTACTTATTTTTGTTGTTGTGAAACAAGACTTTTGTCCACAAATACATATTTTTAAATATTGTAGTCACTTTCATTGCTTCTTGTATTTCAGGATCTGGTCATATACACAGCATCTGCATTCTAAAAGTCCAAGTCAATCAAAGAAAAGAATGTGGCTTATACAACTTTAATTTTTAAAACTCTGCTTCCATCACATTAACTTTTTCAATACAGTATTTCCTTCAAAAATTCTTTCAAAATCAAGTTCAATGGTTTGTTAATAAAAACGAAAACACATGTCAGAATGAACATGATCACATGAGTTAAAATCAAAACAAAATATTGTACCACTCTTTACCCCACTTTAAAAAAAAGTGCAAGGTATGTTTAAAATTGTATACTTTTGAGATGGACAGAAATTGCAGTAATAATTTCAAGACACATCTTTCAATCCTGGATTATTGATTTTTTTTCAACCATCTCTGAAACTTGATTATCTTTACTGAAGCACCAACAGTTATTTGAAAAAAATTGCAAGATACAGTATAAATGGATCTTGAAAGCCATTTATTAGAAATTCCCCTGTAAATAGTTTATTGGGACAGTCAGCTTTGTTTGGAAGGTAATTTGAAAACATTTTCAGGCTCAGTAAAGCAACTATAAATACCTCTAAATGTGTGTCACAAGATTTTAGGAATAGCCTTGAACAGTAGAGAACCCATACCATTAAAAAAGCCCTAAAACCCACTCTTGAGGGGCCTTAACATATGCAGAACCATATTACTGTACTTTCTCTTTATGTTATTTTGCCCTATATTATATTCACGAAATCTTAATTACATCGACAACTTTACGGGGTACGGTAAGTCTTTTCCAAAACTATTACGACGACTAATTTTTTTTATCTTCGTAATTTTTGGAGTTACTCTATTATGTATACAGTCAAACCCACACAACAGACCTCCTGCACAAAAGACTACCTCTGGAGGTGGTTTTTCCTCCCATGTAAGGGACTAAATCCACATAATAAACTTCTGTTGGTATAAAATTAATGAAAAAAACATTCTAACTTGCGAATAATGTACTGCAATTGAATTTACAGAACATGATTTTTACACAACAGACTAGTCTGTTGCAGGATTTAAGTCAATTGTGCAGGGGTTGCTTGTTGGAAAGCAAGAGTATAAACTTCAACTACATATCCACTGAAAAAAAGCCAAGGGCAAAACACCATTCTCAGCATGATTAATATTCTGCACCTCACCATCATAAATCAGGGACTCTCACCAGGTTTTTGTGTTCACAGATGTATATATATATATATGCATACAAGGTTCTCCAACTGAACAATAAAATAAAAAATAAAATAAAACTAAGAGAAGCAGCAAACCTTTAGACAGCCAGCCAGAAACTATATATATATGTTTGTGATGAATGAAAGAAAATAAAGGCCCACAGCAATAGGATTTTCTGGTACAGGGGGTTTTTCTAGTCCTGGCAAGTTCTTTTGCCAGGACTCGAAATTCCCCACAGGAAATAAATATATGTAGGATTCATCCACCCGGGTGTGGAGACCGTTACGCACTCTCCTCCTACTGCTACTCCCCACTTTATCTTCCCCTTTCCCCCCTCACTCCCCTCTTTATCCGGTCATTTTTGTGTTTGCCTTACTATATACTTGCTGAAGAAGAAGAAGAAGAGGAGGAGGAGGAGGAAGAAGAAGAAGGAGGAGGAGGAGGATAAGTTATTGAAAGGACCATATATAGGGATAAACTCAACAATGCTGAGCAGAAGAGGCGTCCGCAAGAAGGCCCAAGAACAAGGAAATAGGAATTCCGCAGGCAGCGGACTCTGACTGCGCATAGGTGACGTCTGGGTGGGCAGCTTTGAACGGCTCATGTTTCCCATTTCCCGCGCCTTCTCATCATGTCTCTTACTTGTCTCTCTATATATAGCTGCTGCGCAGGGTCAAAGCTAATATTGTTCAGATGATCCTGCTGATGAATACAAGCTAGTGGACTAACTTTCTGCAACAAAATTCAAGGAGGCAAATAAATTCATTGTAGAGAGAACTGTGATTTAGAGAACCCTTACAACATGGGGAGAGAGAGAACCCATAAGGGGGACCAAACAAAAATTCATGAAGATGAACTTGTTTTAGACAAGATTGCTGTGGAAAGGGGTAACCACATTGCATGGACAAGAGGGCATTGATTATTCACTTGTTCAGTATTTTCAAATGTCCCTCACAGAAGCCCATGCTTTTGAGGAATTCTTTACTGAACATACCAACAGGAATAGTTTTTTTGAATGTCATATTCTTTGTAAAGTACTGTTCTTGAAATAGGCTTCTTGAACATGTTCAGAATAATGCAGAAATTGATTATGCTGAAGTATGGGAGAAAATCTACAGCTGTGTGCTATCTGCCTGTTTTATAATCAAAGATCTCACAAATTTAATGTTTTTTAAACTTGAAATGATTTAGTTTGTATTTTTAAGTTCTTATCCATCTGGTAATAGATGCTCTGCTGTACATAGCTTTTTACAAATGCATCAAATGACATCATATTCATGAATATAATTACAAAGTAGAAATAAACAAATTCTTGACAGATGTTTGAGAATATCCAGCATGTTTTTGATCAAAATGTATTTCATATATATTAGGGATTCTGACTATATAGACCTGGCAGGGTATTTTTTTCAAGATTTTTAGAAACCTTCCTCATTTCTGTATGAAACAGGTCATCGAAAGCAACCAAGGGTGAAGAGTCCAATAGTGAAAGTTCCTTGGGTGCTGCGGCACCTCTTGTTGATGAAGGCAGAAAGGCGGTTAGGGCGCCCACACAAGCAGTTGCCATACGCCAAACAGCAGACACCCCCTGGTGCTGCTGCTGTAGCCAGGCTCAAGGATACAGCAGGTATAAATGCCCTGCATCCTCAAAGAATAAGAGTAGGCATTTTATTGTAAATCTGCAGATTCATTTATTTCCTTTTATTACAATTTGACCACCCCACAATGTGTCTGACCTGCAAGTCAATGGTTAAATTTGTGGGAAGGTTGACTTGCAATTTTACCTCTGCCCCACAAAGTGGTCCACGGAGAGCTGAAAAATATCAAATATGATGTAGAAAACCTTGCATCTGATGTTGCTTCACAATGAAACCCCTCAACAATTTAACCCTAGCCCAAGCAATGGATCAGGGTTGAATTCCAGGGCACCACATGTACACATATACTACCTAAGAACATTTTTGGGTACTTTCCTGTTATCTCCGTACCTCATTCCTAGACCGCACTACCATCCAGACAAATCTTTAGGAAGAGTTCATAATTGAGACAACCTACCAGAAACTATGAATTTTAATTTTCTGCATTCTGCTGAAACTGATTTTGGGAGGCGGTTAGGTAAAGTTGGGTTAGGTCAGGTTATGTTAATTAAAAGATATTTGTATAACTAACATAACCTGACCTAACCCAACTTTGCCTAACCAACTCCCAAAATCAGTTTCAGCAGAAACTGATTTTGGGAGGTGGTTAGGTGAAGTTAGGTTAGGTCAGGTTAAATTGGTCAGATTGAAGGCACAGAGATAACAGGAAATTAGGTACTGAGATAACAGGAAAGTACCCATTTTTGGCCAAATTTAGGATAAAAATAAAATACTTTTTTTTATATAAGGCATTGGCAAGAGTGTGGCCCAGTCCTTGATGCATTCCTGGAGGCCATTGCCAGTGCCTCAGGTACCTCACCAGCCCCTGGCCAGAGTGCCCACCCTTCTGGCACCCACCTGTGGCTCATTTGCCACTGTGTTACACCAGTTTGCTGCAGGGTCCAGTGCCACCAGCAGTGCTGCAAGGCCATTTGTCCTCCCTGGTGTCATGGAGGTGTGTCGCTATAGGCATGTATCCATCATCAGCAGACACTTCCCATATATGTCTTTTGATCAGACCTAAACTGGTGAAACCTTGGCCATTATGTTTGATTTCAGTCACCACCCATACATCCACAAGCCACCAGAAATCTATGAAACTTGTGAAAGAAGAGTTAGGGTTTGGTGGTTCCCTCCAGACTTCACACAGACTCACATCAATGGACGCTATGAGGCCAATGGGAAAAAAGGTGCCACTCACTTTGTTGAATATATATTTAAAATAGATATCCAGTATACCACCTCAACATTTGATGATTGATCACCAAATCACCACTATATGTGTAGGAAGCAATGCCTGCACTATCATTTGCATCCTGATGGCCCACCGGGTTCATGATGATGGCTTCATCTTGAGAGTACCTACTGGGGCCCCTTTGGACAGAGGCTTTGTGTCCTCTTTTGCCAAGTGCATTTCTGAAGGGAATGCCATTCATGAGAGGATGCTGAGGAATGGGGAGCTGACCCACATGAATTTAACTGTACCTGAGGCCATGTCTGCATCCATGCCAAGGTCTGCCATCTTGCTTGAATGGGTGAGAAGATTGCACACTGGTTAGGGATTGTATAGAGCAGGGCTTTTCAACTGACTGCTGAATACCACTACTGTATATCTGTTTTATACATTGCATATGAAGCACTGTTGATTTTTGTTATACAGTTGAACCTTGATAATTTGAACCTCACTATTAGTCAAATACCCCCATAAGTCAATTTTTTCCAGGTCCCTGTCTTTGAAACAATCCATTGCAAAGCTCCCAAACTGTAAGGCTTTTTGTCTCAAACCTCTGTAAATTGAATTTTTTTTGTCCTGTTCACTATTATTTTCTTCACGCAAAATCAATAAAATTGGAAATTGATGTGTTTTGAAAGGAAGTGGAAAAGACTTGATTAGGCAAATTAACCCCTGTATCCAAGTTCAGCCTCCTGTCAACTCATTTAAGAAGTAAGTTAAGCCCCTGAATATCATCATCTAGAATTTTGGGCAATACTCTTATGTTTCCCAGGACAAAAGTGCTTGGTTTTGTAGCACACTCCTCTATAATTCAAAATCTCTGTACACTTGAACATGTGTTGAATTTCTTCAACTGATGCAATATGTTTTTAAATATACAGTCCTGTATTTAAAACATGATAACCAGCAAGGAAGTCCTTGTCCAGATGGTACATGCACTCAGGTCTCCCAAAAGCTAAAACACAAGATATCCCTATATTTCTTCTTGAAAGTGATGCAATTCAAAAGGTTGAAAAGTCCTGATGAGAGACAAATGGATCACCAAAGTGAGTCTCATGGTCAGGGTGATGCAGTTTAATTTTCTCTTGCAGTTCTATGTGCAAAAGTCCCTGAACAGTAGAGTGACCATGCGGCAGTCCTTGTATGACCAGATTACATCAGCAATTAGAAGGTGGACCTCACCATATCAAATCACACCAACCCCTGCCACTCTAGATCTCTATCTAATCCTGATTGCTGATGCAAGATCTGTGCTGGTGGTTTATCAGAGAGACACTGGGAAGGTGAACCTTGATTTGAACACATAAAAGAAATTTGATTTTGCTGCTGAAATTAATACAGTATTTATATATGCTTGGTGATGTAATAATGTCCTGAAAATTTAAAAACATTCATCAATTGTTTTGAACTGTTTATTGTGTGTTGATATAGGAAATCATCCATCAATATAATGTGAATAATTTAGAATTATATCCTCTATGGTATGTGAAACATATGCATTATAGAATGTATACTCATGGAGATATATGATCTCTCAGAACACAATGTTGAGTGACCAGCAGCAAACATTTGAGTGTTTAACTGTTAATTGTCAATTATCTAATACAGTTGAATACCTCACATTCACAAAACCTCCCTAACTTTTGAATGGATTCCCCTTCAAACCTTGGCAAGTCAAATAGTGTGTATGCCTTTTTCTGGTTTTTATTGACACATGCTGGAAGAGAGAATCAATGAAATGTACTTTGAAAGGAGTAAAATATCAATGGGACAAATGAATCCATCATCCCTCCAAGTTCAACACCCTGTCAATAATTAATACAGTATAAGAAGCAATTGAAGGGCAAGCATATCACCATAACACTTTCCCCTGATTCATGTTTATTTTCCTCAATGCTTGTTCTCCAAAGAAATCAAAACCTCTTGTATACCTATAACCTTAATTCATGTTCATGCAAGCTATTCACACCTTGGATTATGATTCAGTTGAACCTTGATAAATCAAACCTCCATATAAGTCTAATACCTCCCTCAGTCATTGAAAAAAAAACCCCATCTGAATTTCCTTGGGAATAATACATTAAAAAACCTATATCCAAGTGGAATAATTTTTCTCTCAAACCGCCTTAACTTGGATTTTCTGGGACCTTTTGGCTATTGTTTCTTCACAAAGGAAAGAGGAAATGAATACTTAAAAAAAACTAAATTGAAGTGTTTTGAAAGGAAGTGAAGGACTAATTGGGCAAATGCTGAACCTTTGCATCAAAGTTTGGCATCTTGTCAATCAACTCATTAAAGAAGCAGTTTGTGGCCCAGAATATTACCAATTAAAATTCTGAAAATTCTTTCATCCTTCCCACAAGAACAGTGTTTGTTTTTTTCTACCTTAAACTGCAGCAAGTTACTTCTTTTTTTGTGGTCCCATGAAATTCAACTTGGAGGGGTTTGACTGTATATATATACAAGTAAACAACTTGTATATAGAAGGTGTGCAATACTGCAACAATAAAAATATATAAATAAAAATGGGCGAATTAAGTGAATACACCCAGATTGACGACAGTCACTTGACCCACCCGCATGCCCATATATACATGTATGCAGCTGACTCTCATCGACTCCCACTCGCACCTGCACTCTGGCGCCGTGGTGGCGCAGGTTGACGTGCACCACGTTCGCGACTTGTGCAGTTGGTACGAGGAGGTTTGCCACACGATTTTCGGCACTAAACCCGATTGCTACGAGCTGTCGTGCTTGTACGTCAAGTCCTCCAATGCCACCCTCAGTCCACCGCATCAACAGCAGCAGTCGCATGCCAGCAACAATAAGCAGCAGTTTTGAAGTTGGACAATAATAAGCAACGAATAATGAGCTCGGGAATGGCGTGAATGGTTATCTCTTTTTTTATGCTTTCACGCTGTGCATTTTGTGTGACATTACTGTATATACAAAGGTGAAATAATACCTCACGTTGACCACACAAACACACACACTACGAATAAACTACGTAAAGTGTTGAGTTCAAATATGTACGACGTCAGACATTATTTACACGTCCCACCCGGTTTTTTCACTTGGTTAAAAAAAAAGCTTACTCTAGCTCATGCAGTAGCAAATCAAGCTGTGGCATTAAAATAAAAGACTGCTGAACAAATTCATTTCACATATGCTACAGTCTAAATGTACAAGGTGGGCCAAAAAAAGTGAGCAGATTCTTAACCCTTGTGCTGCAGCCAAGTTGGGATATTTTTTTCAAAATTTTGTCACTATGAGGACTGCAAATGCAAAAAAATACAATTTTTGAACCAAGGTCTAAGTCAGGAAAAAGTTCAATATTTTTTTTGTGATCCTGCAGAAAATGTTGGCTAAAAAAATTCCTCCCTGGGTGGTGTATTTTCATACATTCCCAGCATAGGATTAACATTGGGGTTTTATTGAAAAAATGGGATTTACTGCTCCCAATTTTTTTTATGCCTTGGCATTTCAGTGACCTTTGGTCAAACTGAAATGCCCCTTACCCAAAAAATAGATTTTGCTGCCTGATGGCCAAGATATGAAAGCTCTGTTGTCCAAGGGTTAACCTACATCACTTAGTTCTATAGCCCTGTGCAGCAAATCAAGCTGTGGCAATAAAAAAAACATCAAAGGAAAGCTTATTTGATTCCCTTTTGAACAATCATAGTTTTCTGGTCTCAAAGTGCCCACAGGATTGTCACAAAACACCATTTGAATATAAACTTTCAAAACAAATTTTTAGGGAATTTCTTCCACTATAAGATGATGTTCTCCAGTGCTGTTTTAGCAATATAAATTAATAGCAAACTTCATGCTGTCTTATTTGAAAGGGCTGCACACATTACCAACATTTAAGAGGTGGGGATGAGAAATGCAGAAAAGGAAACAAAAATGAGCAGTGCAATAATGTTGCTCCACTCCTGAATCCTGAAGCCAACTTGCTGCTGAGTACCAGCCTCTTATTGGCTGGTGTGACCCTCAGTTTTTTTTGTCTACCCTGTGAATACAAATGCATGTATATACACAGGGTTGTCCCACTTGGACACAACCTCTGATGTTTTCAGAGTAGTCATGATTGTAAAAAAGAATAATCATGACATAGCCCATGATTTTCTCAGGTTCTTGGATTTGTTGTGAATTAAAAGAACTAATGAATTTATTGCATGATGATAAGAGAAAACTTTATTGTTACAGCCAGAGTTCTCCACACATCTCTCTCTCAAGGTGCTGAAAATGCATCAGGCATGCTAAAAATTGGAATTTGTTTGTTTTATCCGTTATTGTTTCTGAGTTTTCGATAATGGAGAAAACAAGAAATTCATTTTTTTAAACCCAGCATGAAACATTTTTAAATCTCTGTGAAATGGGGGGAGAACTCTAAAAGAAACTGGAAAGTTTTCACTTATCATCATGCAGTTGAATTGTTAAAAATACCAAACAATTCCCATAACGTTTGGACCATCATGGATTATGTTGAGACGTTTTTCAGAAAGTTTTCTCAAGAGCATGCAATGATCAAAATGATTCCATTTGACATGCTGAAATATAAACAGTATGTTTACAATATTTCATTCATTTTTAATGGAAATAATTGCTGATAGTTATGTGCTGGCTTTTTGAAGTTTTTATATACGGTAGCAATAATTGAGTCAATTAAAATGAAATTCAACCAAAGAAAAGTTCTTGATTTTTGTAAATTGAATAATCTGTCTACTGAGTCAAAACTGGGCAGAAAAAGGAGTTGAACATAGAATTGAACGTGAGATGCACGTGTTCCTGAAAATCAATTATTGGAACCCCTGTCATGGTGAGAAAGTGTACTGACCACCATTTTTGTCATAGGTCCATTGGATCCCAGACAAAGGAATTGAATTGTGCAGTCATCAGAATGCAAGTTTTGAATAAGAACTCAAACTCTTTTCAGAGGAGTTCATTCTCATTGCCCAGTTCATCAATTGGCTGTTAATTCAATGGTTTTGGTTAGCTCAGAATATTGAATGAGGTAATTTAAAGTTAAAAGGCCACTTAACACTAGGTTCCGACTTCTCCTCTCAAAGAGGAATTAGGGTTTTTCTAGCCAGGTGCTTGGAATGGGCCAGGAAGAAATCAGGTGATTTCTTCCTGGCTCAGGATTGGCCAATATACAGGCAAAATCAAAGAAGTGATGACCACTTCTTGTCCTTGAGTGAGGCTCAGAGAGTCTGACAAAAACAGGATATTTGCAAGGCTCACAGGCCTCAGAAATCCAACATGTTTTCCAGTCCAGTTTCTNTATGCAGCTGACTCTCATCGACTCCCACTCGCACCTGCACTCTGGCGCCGTGGTGGCGCAGGTTGACGTGCACCACGTTCGCGACTTGTGCAGTTGGTACGAGGAGGTTTGCCACACGATTTTCGGCACTAAACCCGATTGCTACGAGCTGTCGTGCTTGTACGTCAAGTCCTCCAATGCCACCCTCAGTCCACCGCATCAACAGCAGCAGTCGCATGCCAGCAACAATAAGCAGCAGTTTTGAAGTTGGACAATAATAAGCAACGAATAATGAGCTCGGGAATGGCGTGAATGGTTATCTCTTTTTTTATGCTTTCACGCTGTGCATTTTGTGTGACATTACTGTATATACAAAGGTGAAATATATGGAGTGCAACTGGTGTGTTTGTGTGTGTGATGCTTATTTGATGCATTTCACAACTCAAGTTTATACATGCTGCAGTCTGTAATAAATGTGCAGGGTGGGCCAAAAAAGTGAACCAATTTTTTTTTTAGCTTACTTTAGCTCATGCAGTAGCAAATCAAGCTGTGGCAATGAAATAAAAGACTGCTGAACAAATTCATTTCACATATGCTAAAGTCTAAATGTACAAGGTGGGCCAAAAAAAAAGTGAGCAGATTCTTAACCCTTGTGCTGCAGCCAAGTTGGGATATTTTTTTCAAAATTTTGTCACTATGAGGACTGCAAATGCAAAAAAAAAACAATTTTTGAACCAAGGTCTAAGTCAGGAAAAAGTTCAATATTTTTTTTTGTGATCCTGCAGAAAATGTTGGCTAAAACAATTCCTCCCTGGGTGGTGTATTTTCATACATTCCCAGCATAGGATTAACATCGGGGTTTTATTGAAAAAATGGGATTTACTGCTCCCAATTTTTTTTATGCCTTGGCATTTCAGTGACCTTTGGTCAAACTGAAATGCCCCTTACCCGAAAAATAGATTTTGCTGCCTGATGGCCAAGATATGAAAGCTCTGTTTTCCAAGGGTTAACCTACATCACTTAGTTTTGTAGCCCTGTATAGCAAATCAAGCTGTGGCAATGAAAAAACACCAAAGGAAAGCTTATTTGATTCCCTTTTGAACAATCATAGTTTTCTGGTCTCAAAGTGCCCACAGGATTGTCACAAAACACCATTTGAATATAAACTTTCAAAACAAATTTTTAGGGAATTTCTTCCACTATAAGATGATGTTCTCCAGTGCTGTTTTAGCAATACAAATAGCAAACTTCATGCTCTCTTATTTGAGATGGCTGCACAAATTCCCAAAATGTAAGAGGTGGGGATGAGAAATACAGAAAAGGAAACAAAAATGAGCAGTGCAATAATGTTGCTCCACTCCTGAATCCTGATGCCAACTTGTTGCTGGGTATCAGCCTCTTGGCTGATGTGACCCCCTGTTTTTTTTTTACACCCTGTGAATACAAATGCATGTATATACACAGGGTTGTCCCACTTGGACTCAACTTCTGATGTTTTTAGAGTAGCCATGATTGTAAAAAAAGAATAATCATGACATAGCCCATGATTTTCTCAGGCTCTTGGATTTGTTGTGAATTTAAAAAAATATTGAATTTATTGCATGATGATAAGAGAAAACTTTATTGTTACAGCCAGAGTTCTCCACACATCTCTCTCTCAAGGTGCTGAAAATGCATCAGGCATGCTAAAAATTGGAATTTGTTTGTTTTATCCATTATTGTTTCTGAGTTTTCGATAATGGATAAAACAAGAAATTCATTTTTTAACCCAGCATGAAACATTTTTAAATCTCTGTGAAATGGGTGGAGAACTCAGAAAGAAACTGGAAAGTTTTCACTTATCATCATGCAGTTGAATTGAAAAACATTTTTAAAAATCCAAAAAAATTCCCATAACCTTTGGACCATCATGGGTTATGTTGAGACCTTTTTCAAAAAGTTTTCTCAACAGCATGCAATGATAAAAATGATTCCATTTGACATGCTGAAATAAACAGCATGTTTACAATATTTCATTCATTTTTAACAGATATAATTGCTGAAAGTTGGGTGCTGCTGGCTTTTTTGAGCTTTTATACACGGTAGCAATAATTGAGTCAAATAAAATGACATTCAACCAAAGCAAAGTTGTTGATTTTTGTGAATTGAATAGTCTGGCTATACTGAGTCAAAACTGGGCAGAAAAACGAATTGAACATAGAATTGAACATGAGATGCGCGTGTTCCTGAAAATCAATTATTGGAACCCCTGTCATGGTGAGACAGTGTACTGACCACCATTTTTGTCATAGGTCCATTGGATCCCAGACAAAGGAATTGAATTGTGCAGTCATCAGAATGCAAGTTTTGAATAAGAACTCAAACTCTTTTTAGAGGAGTTCATTCTCATTGCCCAGTACATCAATTGGCTGTTAATTCAATGGTTTTGGTTAGCTCAGAATATTGAATGAGGTAATTTAAAGTTAAAAGGCCACTTAACACTAGGTTCCGACTTCTCCTCTCAAAGAGGAATTAGGGTTTTTATACCCAGGTGCTTGGACTGGGTCAGGAAGAAATCAGGTGATTTCTTCCTGACTCAGGATTGGCCAATATACAGGCAAAATCCAAGAAGTGATGACCACTTCTTGTCCTTGAGTGAGGCTCAGAGAGTCTGACAAAAACAGGATATTTGCAAGGCTCACAGGCCTCAGAAATCCAACATGTTTTCCAGTCCAGTTTCTACCGGATGCTGGAGCTGCGTTGCTTCCGGCCGCGACAACCCCTTCAATTATAGATCAAGTGTGGTTCTCTTCTTTCCGATTTTTATTCAATTTCGCAATGCGCCTCTGCTGAATTTTTTTTTCTCTCGCGCAAACCATCGCAATCAGTGTCAGGATTTGAATCAAAATGTTTATGCAGCAAGATTGGCAGCATTGGTGTCGATCCAATTCCTGTGTGCAGCAATTTTCGGACCAACTGCCGGCGTGTTTATGCCGCATTCCGAAGCAGCGCGGGTTCCTGTGCCAAAAATGGCGCGGAAGAATTGCAGGAATGCAGCAGACATCTTGCTCTTGTTTGTCACTACTGGGCAAGGTCCAGCATCGGCAGTTCCTGGTCTCACAAATGAATTCACTGCTAGTTGCACTGCTGAACTGCCCAATTGGGTCACCACTGGACCCCCACTGTCACCCTGCACAAAATAAAATTTCATGTCAAATTTATATGGATGCCCAAAAAAACATAGTATATTTTCCAACACTATTGAAGGATTTGCCAGCTCATCATCATCAGCAAAAGTGCAGATTTTACCACGTTTTTACCACGTTTTTATGAACTCACTTTCTTGTCTGTCTGTCTGTCTGTTTGTCCGGATCAAATTTTGAAACTCAAATTTCACTCACTTCCTGACTAGCTATCAAGCTNAAAAAAATTTAGTAGATTAAAAAATTAATCTAAAAAACCACGTTTTCAAAAAGCAAAAAATAACCTTAAACGTGGTGCGCATGGAGATTGTTGGGAAGAAGTGAAATACAAATGAAATAGATGCGCACCAGGTTTAAGGTTATTTTTTGCTTTTTGAAAACGTGGTTTTTTAGATTAATTTTTTAATCTACTAAATTTTTTTCTATACACTATAGATGGGCATACAGTGGCCCCCCGCCTCACAAACCTCCCGTGTAAGGGATTTTCGCCTAACAGACCAGCTCTGCAAGCAGTTTTTCCTCCTGCCCAACAGACAAAATCCACCAAACAGACTTCTTTTGGTTTAAAATTAGTGTTGAAAATTGAAATTTTCAATTTTTTATGTAATTGAATTCGTGTAAAGGAATTTTTGTCTAACACACTTGTCCCTTGCACAAATCAAGTCCATTAGACAGGGGTTGACTGTATCTATTGTATTGCAGGGCAGAAATTGAATTGGAGGTGACCTAATCCCAGCAAATTTGACTGCTGACTTGTGGGACAAACAAATTGCTGTAAGAGGTTGAATTGCAAGGTATCAAGTGCATCTTGAAATGCAATGCATGATGATAATGCATCCAAAATGTTGACTTGTATGGAAAATTCGAATAAGTGGGTGAAATTATAGGCACAACAAAATGCCACACATGCAGCCTGATCATATATATATATATATACAGTAAACAGTAGTGTATATACAATATTAACAGTTGAACCTTTTCAAGTTATACCTGAAGGAGCCAGCAAAACAATTTGGGTTATAAAAGGTTTAAAGTTATAAGAAAATGATGCATTTTTGGGGGAAAGGGGGGGGGATTACAAGGAAATTGTGATTGGTGATATTCCAGACCTTAAATTGCTTTTTTTAATGAGTTGACAAGATGCAGAACTTGGAAGCAAGGGATCATTTGCCCAATTAGTCTTTCACCTCCTTTCTGAACACATAAATTTACATTCTTATCCTTACTTACCTTCTGGAACAATAAAATAATTACCAAGAAACCTCCTTATTTGCATGGGGAATTTTAGTTCTGGTGGTTTGAGATAGAGAATGCTTTTGAAGTAGGGAGGTTTTTAATACCTTTTTTTCTCAGAGAATTCAGACTGGGACACACATGAAGAAAAAGAACCAATCTTGGTGAGATAGTTGACTTGGGGAGGTTTGAGTTATTATTCAGCCTCATCAAGTGCATATGTATAACAATACTCTGGAAAAGGCCTGCCAAAAGTAGAAATCTCACAGAACAGACTCCATTGATGCCGTGTCCAGAGAAGCAGAGCTGAAAGCCAGAGTCATAGTTCGCAGTTTGCCCTGGACAATTCCAGTAGGACTCGCAAACAGCGTTCGACCGCACATCTGTTGCGGCTGACAGTAGATCAGCACTAACATCTGTAAAATGAATTATGCTTGAATCATGATTGCATAAATTTCCTGATAAGGACTGCAATAATTCTAGAAGTAAAAAAAAATATATATATATACACAGCAGAAACATCAATTGAAACAAAAACAAAAAAACCCCCGCACCTCCCGTCTGAGTGACTCCCCAGCCGATGACAGTGACACCAAGTCCTTCCGCGTTGAAATCCGGGGCGGCGAGTGTGATTGGGCTGATGGTAGATGTCGTAGCTGCTATGGGAGTCGCCAGCTTGACGAGTGCCAAGTCGTACCTCAAATCCGATTCCGTGTATTGCTCGTGCACCTTGATCCCATTTGCTGTTTGTGTGCCTGTGAATTCCCCAGTTTCTGCGCTTTCATCCCCTGATAAGGAAGTCAGTCCTCCGATGGTGTAAGAAACTGAACTGGCTTTGGTCAGCACTCCTGTTGTAGCATCTCTGATGCATATGATGATGCAGATAAAACAATAGTGAGAAGGAGCAAGGAAATTGACCTGTGCCATCAATAGAAAAAATTCTTGGAGGAGATATATTTTCAAGGTAGGAAATTCAGCACAATGAATGGCACAAGTGAATTTCTTTGAAGCACATTTCATGATTATGAAGTGCCTATGTATACATGCAGTACAGTCAACAATTTGACTTGGGGAGATATTTAGTTGAGGGAAAAATGAAATTTTTGTCTAGAATCAATATAATAATTGTGTGCACTTAAAAGGCTGAAAACTACTTTGCAAAGGAGTTTTGAAGGATGCTGAACTTGGATGAAGCAAGTGTTTATTGGCCCAGATCCATAGAGTCTTTCACATCTGTTCAAAATACATCATTACATAAATTGTCATAGTTCAAGCAAAATGCCTAAGCAAATCAACAGTCAACCCAGCTATTTTGACCATTTGGTCAAAATAAGTGGCTGCATACATGGTCCCATTAACTGGTGGTGTAAGTAACTGGCTTTGACTGTATATTATTGAGAGAAAATTATTGCAGAGAGAGTAAAGAATTTGCAACTTCTTCAAATTTGTTGAAAGCAGACATTTTAGTTTCCTTGTCAAACTTGAAACTTCCCTAATTTGTTTCATCTCATTTGCTGCTTGTTTTTAATACTCCTGCTGAACAAGAAAATAATGTGTTACATATAATGTATGTGCAGAGAACATCCTTATTGTATAGGCATCATGATTTTCATTGAAGATGAAGTCTGTAGCAAATACCATATTTACTCAAGTACCACACGCACCATTTTTCTCAAATTTCAGAAGAAAAAAAGGGGTGCACGTCATAAGCAGGTCCAAATTTTTCAAGAATTTTCAGGAAATTATGTGTGCATAATACTTGATCATAATGGAGAAATTTGGAACAAATCTAACAAGAAAGCCTTTTTGTACTGATACAGTGGAAAATTTATCAGATTTTTGTTCAATTCATGTCTAAAGTTAATTTTTTGCTTTTATTTTTGAAATTTTGTGGTTTCAGATTCACTAAAAATTGGGGTGAGCATCTTACTTGGGGATATGATTTTAGCAAAATTTCCAACTGAAAAACCCCTGTGATGCGTGCGTTACTCAAGTGCACGTGGTCCTCAAGTAAAATACAGTATAGATAAGAAATACAGTGTATATTTGACCCACTTGGAGGTGACACAATGAGCAGCTGTGAGGATGACCTGGTTGGTGATGAGTGACCCCCCACAGATGCCCGAATTCAGGGCTTCCAGGTACACCATCCAGGGTGCCAAGTTCCTATTGGCCACTTTCTGCCCATTGATGATGACTGGAGTGTCGCCCTCGTCATCTGCTGGCGATGATGCTTGTCTCATCATGTGTCCTGCGTAATTATCCGAGCCTCGATGACGACCATGAGTACCATCAGCAGTAGCACCATCAACGACATTGGTGCACTGTTGCTGTGTCGAGAAAATAATTAAAAGAGCCACTCGAATCCACAGCGACGATGAGGAAATGAAAAATAACCACCGCCGCATCGTTTTTTTTGTATCTATACAATTTTCAGAACGAGGATATCATTCAAGCGCTTTTTTTTTTAAATCGCACACAGAAAAGACAACTCCTTCGAAAAGAAAGCACTAATACTGTGACTCAAAAAAAAAAGTGTGACGATGACGAGTTGACGACTGACGAGAAATACAACTGTATATGATGCAGTGTATGTCCCGAAATGTTGAAAGTGCCTTCTATTTTCTTCTTGAAACAAGTACTCCCTTGGATAAATAGAGTACTAGGATTCAAGTACACGTACGCGAAAGTTGAAGGCAGAACTTTTTTTTTTCAAAATCTTGATCAAAACGCAGGGATATTCTAAAAAGAAGCACTACACGAGTGCCAAAAAAAAAAACTCTTATTTTTGTGATTACATTTAGAAAAAATTCTCCCTAAATGTAAATAATTGCTTCATCTTATTATTAGCAATAATGATGCTAATGTTTGTGCACATACAGTGATGGTGCCTTGCCTATAATGACCACAATTTGTTCCTGCGCAATAATGGTTGTTATAGGTAAAACGATTGTAAGGCTGCTGGTCACGTTTTCCCTTATAAGGATTAATGTAAAACCATTGGTTCCTGAATTATATACAGTATTAATCATATAATACTGAATCATATATTTTGCACTATTTCAGTTTTGGAGGAACAGTATTTAAATAAGTTTCAAGTCCTGCATGCTGGACTAAATTCTGTAGGTATAGACAGAATGCAATAGTCATATGCAAATCCTGAAATCTCTGTGTTTTAGAACAAGTTTCCAAGTTTCTTCCAAAACTATGAATTGTTATCCTCAGGAAAATACTCCATGATACACGTGAGCCCTGTGCCCAGAGTTGTAAATAATAAACGACTCTGAACTGGGTCGTAAAAAGAATATTATAGGACTCAGGTGAAACAAAGAAGATGAGAAAAAGGAAGAGATTAATTACTCTTCCTGACAAAGCGATTCTTGAGGCTAATATATTTGATAAAATATTGTATCATATATTGACCTTTCTTGAAGGACGTAGCCTTGCATTCCGTCCTCCCCTCCCAGATCTGTCCCTCAATTAAGAAGTACACTTCCTGGTACTTCTGACCTTGTACCAGATTTTCTGGAGTATATAAACTCCAGTAGCATCTTCCCAAAATCAGGCATTAGTGCGCTGACCATTGAGTAGAATCCCAAGTAGGAATCCTTTGAGGTCTTGTCTTGTGTGTTTATTGATGAAAGGCAATAAATCCTAAAACTGCTGGAATACTGTGTTTTACTACTTCCACTATAAAGGATGTACTGAACCTTTAAATTTAAAGAAGTGTAAATATACACAACAAAATAAAAATTGAATAATGAGGATATGGTGCCTCATTACTAGTTATTGAATCTCGAAAACAATTTAAATGCAGGTACAGTACTTTCAATTTTCAGCTGCAATTATGTAAAAGCATCTGTTGAACCTGGTGTAGATTTGAGAGATGAAGAATCCTTGATGCATCTCAGAATCCATATTGTGTTTTTGTGTCCAACATGCGAATAAAACTTTGCAAAAAAGTGACGCATTGTATAGTTTGGCACAGAGATAAACAGTGTATATTCATGTTCTGGGCACAATTTTTGGGACATGAATACATGATATAGGGATTCAATATGAACAAAACAGAAATCAAAATATACACTGGATGCACAACTTTTGGCAATCTTCAACTAACTCAAAGAACAGCAACTACTGTATACTATATACAGCCAGTAAATTATTTTTAAATCACATGTCTGAGAGATGAAGCTAAGTTTCAAGAGTGTATGAAGGAGCTCACATGCAGCCATATTTATATGCAGGAATACCCACTTTAAAATCTTGAAAGCTGAGAGGAAATACACCAGTGTAAACAAATCATCTAAAATTTTATAAGGATAACTAATCAATATATTAAAATATTGTAGGGCACAGAAAGTTATTACAGTGGAATAGATGAGTTATTCAATTCATCATTAAAAGCAGCTAATGCAAGATGAATTTTGTTGAGAAAAAAAGGAAAGTGAGAGAGAGAGAGAGAGGAATTGCCTTCATCACACAAACTTCAAATCCCTGTCATTTTTGTTGTTATTGTCCTGAATGCAATTACACTGAATATGTACATGATAAAAACAACCCACTCAGTTTTCAGGTGAGAAAGCACAAAGAAAAACCTGCTGACTAATGAAATATGCACAGTCTATTCTGCTGACTTTCCATTTTCCTGAGTAAAAAAAACAAAACAATAGACCATGCATGTGATATGATGTGGCATCCTTTTGAGCATACACACACACACATCCACGTACATAAGTTGAACTCTGGAAACATGGACAGCACAGATGTCACTGCTGCACTTTCCTCAGCCTCCCTGAAGAACCTGCTGGTGCCCCAGTGACAACAACAACCATCTCTGCAGTCCCTGCCTCATCCTGCACCACGTCTGAATAATCAGCAGTGTTGTCGAATCGCTCCGAATTCCAACTACTGATGATGATGCTGTTGCTGCCATCAGCAGCAGCAACAGCTGTCCTCTTGTCACTATTATTCTTCTTCTTAGCACCCGCAGCTGCTGTGTCTGATGATGACGATGATGACGACGATGATGATGACGAGGACGAGGACGAAGACGAAACAACAATGGGCACAAACAAGTTGAGGAGCACCCGCGCCAGGAAGTAAATCTCGATCCCCGCGACAACAATCAGTGTCCAGGCAACAGTGCGCAACTTTTTGATGAACCGCGCCAGAGTGGCGAGTTCCTTGTCGCGCACGGCTCGAGGCGCAGCCGGGGTCAGCCACTCCGAGTCCTGCACGGAAGATGTCGCTGCCCGTCGCAGGTGTGATTCCAGCGAGGGTAGATGTCGTGCCAGCATGAGGGACCCGAACGTCGCCAGCGCCCCGATCACCACCAACTGTGTGAGTAGCCATGGCAACGCGGCTCGCACGTTGTTCTACACATAATCACACACACACACACACACATAATAAACACTACATATTTACATACACATGCAAGCATAGACAGGTTTTTGTCAATTATAGATCCACATAAGCACTTATTATAAGCTAATAAGGAAGAAACTGTTACACAGCAGTAATACAACAAAGTATGGTACATGTGTTTCACATTGTCAGCAGCAGGAACTGTTGATATGAATATTACATGTTTTTCAAGGCATCCAAGGAACTGCATGCTGTTGACTTGCTGATGGTATACTTCCTCATTAATAAGTGAATGCAGAAAAAGTGTGCAAATATGGGCGGTCCAGCAACTCTTCAACTATATACAGCTTGCATCCCCATAAACTATCAAATTTAAAATTGATGGCAACAACACAATTTTAAATGAAGGTCTACTGTACTGTTCTGTATGTATTATCCCAGAAGTACAGTATCATACAGACTAAGTATAACTGCATGGCTGCACATTTTGAAAATTTATAGAGAAATTGTACCATAAAATACAATATTATTGAATCTCTGTTTCCAAACCTTTGCAGGAAACAAAAATTCAATGCATAATGAATTTGTAACTCCTCTATGAGCTCTCCCTGATTTATTCTTCAATGTCATCCAATGAAATTAATTAAAGATATAAGAGCATTTTTGCCACCATTTGATGATGTACAGTGAACCCCTGCACAGGGGTCTTAATTTGTGCATAAACATCTGTCATGCAAATTCAATTGTTGAAAATTAACATGTTACCATTAACTTTAAACCAGCAATAAGTCTGTTAAGTGGATTTAGTCTGTTGCATGGGAGGGAAAACTGCCTCCAGAAGCAGTCTCTTGTGCAAAAATCCATGTGTGAGGGGGGGAGGGGGTGATGTAACTTGTGAAAATGACAACAAGCAGCATTTACATGTAACGTTAGAATTGGTATAAGTGGGTAAAATAGTGTTTTTTATGATATTTTTGGCTTTGTCAGCTAACCAATTGTGCATTCATGGAAATTTAATGTAATCCAGATATTTTTCTGAGATCAAAATCCTTGATAAAATCTCTGAAGTGAATCTGAAAATAAATTTTAAAATCATTCATATACTTACATGGTTGGTGCCAGCAGTGAGCAGAGCAGAGATTAGGAACAACAAGTGCATTCCAACAAATGCTGGAATGGCGCCATCTGGTGCTGAAAATGTGTTTCATCAGGGAATGAGTCAGGTTTGAATGTCTACCAAATCCCACTCTGATCACCTACCTTTTCTTGCTCTGGTCATTCCTCCAAGCAGCATCAATGACAAGAGGCTGAACATCTGTTTGATGAAAAAAAAAATCTGAGATATAAATTCTGCAGAAATTGACTCACATTCTTTTATATATAAATGTAGACTCAATAATGTATGATAAATTCTGAAATTGTTTTATTGGCAATGTTCAAGCGGAGAACCTGCAGCAGCTGTACTTTAAATGTGGGACTTAGTTCACCTCAATTTGAATTTTTAACTTCTTTATCAATAAAAAGCACTGAAATTACAAGACTGTTTAGTCATGTTAAAACTAACTTTTAAAAGACGTCTTCTGGACGTCTTAGACTTAAGACTTCCTAATTAAACAAAACGGAGGTAGTTACAGTATTTTAAGGTACTGTGTTTAAGATAAAAAAGACTTTATCCCATTTTTCTGGATTCCTTTTTTTCAGGAATAAACTTTTCGCACATATCCCTATACTGTATAGGTTTTATAAAACAAAAGTGTCACTCACTGAGGTTAAACACAGTAATTTCCATCAGACAAGCTAGGGTCATCTGGAATGGAATGAGCACTCACCAGGGAAGTGGCCAGAATAATAAATGTGATTGATGGCTGGCGCTTGGTGAGACAGGTCACACAGCAGTTTTCAGACCTTTCAGCATTGGGGTTCCCCCTGGCAGGCATGTTTTTGGCTCAATAATACCTGCCAGCAGCACAAACCCCCCCAAGCAGCAGCAGCACTTGGTAATGGCAAGTATATCCCTGCTGGCTGGGCCTATGTGAGGTACTGACTATACTGACAGCCACAGACTATATTCCGACTTTTACGCTATTCCCAAGTCCCTTTCAACGGACGAAAAGGTAAAGACCAGTTCCTGTCGTTTATAACGATCTCTCCCTCCCCTCTCAGTGAACCTCGTACTGAACGTAACGACGACGAACTGTGGACATGGGTTCCCACCAGGAAGTCCTGCATGAACCAGCCATTGAAAACAGGGGCACTTCACAAAGTACTCATTCATCACTCTTGCAAATTTATTGATGTGCTGAGTTATCATTCATCACATTTCACATGGTGTATTTAGGTATGAGCCCAAATTGTCTGCAATTGTGTAACTGAAGAGCAAAATTATGTTTCTTTTTTTCAAAATTGTATTCAAAAAATGAGAATGGACATCAAATACTTGTCTGGGTTCAATATGAGCATATAAAAATTTCGCAGTGGTTGTTTCTTTTAATAGTTCAATGGGAGACACTTGAAATGTGTGGAGTAATTCGCTTTTTAATTCCACCTGCCTTGCTGCCTTGCATCATTCAAAAACTTATTCATGCACTCCACTGTGCTATTTATATAAAATGTCTCAAGTTCTTTTGATATACTGGTGGTGCCCCACAATTTAAACCTATTGTCTATTTCTGGGTACAGGCTGAATTGAATAGCAGTCAAAATTGCCAGACAATGTCAAATTTGATGTTTTCTAAATTGAATTCAAGTTCTTTTGATATACTGGTGGTGCCCCACAATTTAAACCTATTGTCTATTTCTGGGTACAGGCTGAATTGAATAGCAGTCAAAATTGCCAGACAATGTCAAATTTGATGTTTTCTAAATTGAATATGACATTTTGAGTCTCTCTGCAGATCAAATTGCTGGGCAAGAGGTTGAATTGCAAGTTGACATCCCAGCAAATTTTACCATCAAATTGTGGGATGGTTAAAAACCAGGATGTACCATCTGTGTAGTAGTGTAGAGTCATATTTTTTTTTACAACAAATGTCAACTTTTTAAGCCTCAGGAGCATCCAAATGCAATCAAAATAGGTTTTTATACTGAAACTTGAATGTTTGTATATTGAGATGGTTGTTTGAACAAGCGCCCTGAAGGCTTTATCCAGGGAAACATATTTTATAATGAAGCATTTGTGGTAAAATAAAATTTGCATCAAGTTTTTATTGTGTCTTGATTTCTTTGCATATACTGTACAGTATATGATTATGGCTCATGGCCAGAAATTTGGGTGAATGGATGGTATTTTCTATTTGCAAACTTTCTTTGTAGAAATCATCCTATATTATAAAACTTGCACATACTGTGACCAATTTTTGCAGTTTTGGTTTGAACTGTCTAAAAAGAAAGTTTTCTTTACTTGTTAACTTCTATGAACGACCACTCGGGATCTCACACTTACTCCGGTAATCTACACGCGAGTCGTATAGAAAAAAAGAAAGAAAAAAACGGAGTAAATCACCTCTTTTCCCACAAAGGTATGTTTCATTGCCAACTCAATTATTGTTCTCCCAGGGAGGGAAATAAAATCCTAATCTAGTTCTTTTACCACAGGTGTCCTTTGAATAAATCATTGTTTTCCTGCGCTTCCTTTTGTTCCTGAAAAAACAAGTCTAACTATTTGTATAAATTTTTTTTCTCATACATTTATTGACTCTTATTATCCTTTGTTTGTGGGTGAAAAAAAAACATTTTGAAAAAGGTAGAACAGCTTGCTTTTGGCTCCGGCTTTAAATTAAAGACAATCGAATGTTTTTTAATCCTCTGTTGCATTTTTATTTTCGCACAAATAGACATTTTTGCTGAAACCCTCGGTCTCAATATAAGGCAGCGAATATCAATACATGTTTAAGTAGGCGTCTAAAAAAAAAAATTACTGTGCAGTATAGTGAAAAGAGTTTTGTAATCCTTCCACACTATATACCAAACGTATCCCTTCATTGTAGATGTCACTGGCAGTCAGAGTCGCTATGATAGTCTATTTGGAAGTTCACTTATGCCAGCTTATTTAGTCCTGCGTGTATTATTGGAAATAAGGGCGTGAAAAATATTCCTGCCAATAGTCTGCCTCAAGACTTTTGCGACACTGGAAAAAATACTCGGACTTTTCTGTATACTGCAGAGTAGAGATTGTTTTTTTTTTTGGACGCCTCATATTTTTTTGGCATTTGTTCCGTGCGGCCGGAATAGTATAGAGCAAAAAAGAATTGAGGCTTTTCCTCTTTTTTTGCATGACAATAATCGAGACTCGTTGCGGCCGAATCGACTTCTTCTTCTCCTCATATTTTTTTGGCATTTGTTTCGTGCGGCCGGAATAGTATAGAGCAAAAAAGAATTGAGGCTTTTCCTCTTTTTTTGCATGACAATAATCGAGACTCGTTGCGGCCGAATCGACTTCTTCTTCTTCTTCTCATTCCTCCCATCTGTATTTTTTTTTCTTTCGTGAAATATTATACTGCTTAGAGTTTACAGCAGAAACGAGAGCATATTTCCACGTACTGTACTGTATTATTATCTTCATCAGATAATTGATTTACAAATGAAATACTGCAGGCGACCAGCAGCAGCAGCAGCAGCAGCAGTCTCGCATCAGTCGTCGTCCATGGGCTTGACCTGGTCTCCCCGTGGGCCCATCAGGTCACCGCCGGCTTTGATCTGCTGGCGACACGACACGACGACGAGCCAGAAGTAGACGTTGATGAGGGAGAAGAGGATGAGGCCGGCGCCCTGGGCAATCAGCTGGATGCGCAGGTATTCCTCGGTGGGCGACACTGAGTAGCCCACGGAACTCGAGGCGGCCGTGACGAACTGGCCCAGCTCGTTGGCCCACTGCGGCGCCTTCACGATCAGGGCGAGTCCGAAGGCGGCGCAGAAGGCCATCTTGGCCAGC